GACGTGACATGTTCGTATGAACCCTTCAAACGAACAAAATTAAGAGAAATTTAAGATAAGAATACAAACGTTCTTGCATGAGGCCCATTGTTTGCCTTTCATGCCAGAGTTTTGGACTAAAATCATCTTATGGTCATAGTCATTTTGGTTAAAGATTAAAAAATGTCTCTCAGCTATGAAATGGCCACCTTATCAAACATCTGTAATTTGTTTATTTCTGGTGGTTTTCCCTCATGGTGAACAGTGTTTACATCTTATTTTCTAACAATCCACCTGACTGTTGAGGTGTGAAGAGTCACTTTCAACACGGTGTGTGTGTTTTTAGGCAGCTCGTCTTGGTCACCTTTACAGTAGAAATGTAAGTGATTCAATAATTTGGTACATCTGAGTTAAACACACCAGCGGTTTTTGTTTTGTGTGTGTTCTTTTTTAACGTACAGTTTGAGTTCATGGGCCACCTGGCATCCCGGTCACGCTCTGTCTGTTCATGACTCACATTTGACAATAATGACTCGTGTTCTTATTACAAACGTTTGCGTCTGTGCTTCACCGTGTCACTTATAAATCACTGCTTGTGTGCTTAGGGTGAACAAATTAGATCAAATTTYAAAGTATTTGTGGAAAAAGCTTCTGTAAATACACCACAGTGATTGACAAGGTGCCACAGTGTCTCTGAGATTTTTTTTCAGCAGGTAAACATAAAATCACAGACCTAATTTAGTGCAARTAAATTAAAATCTGATTTTTTTCAGCTGTTCTTATTTTACACAAAACCCAAATTCTGCTGAATATTTCAGCAATAACACTWGTGATATGTTTGAATAGAGATAAAYRGTCATTTATGTTGTCAAATTGTTTRTAAATTCAAGCATCAAGATGTAAAATCTAATTATCGTCATAMTGTCAGGTTTGAAACAGACAGGCAGCGTGGTGGAGTTTCTGTTTCTGTCAAATTAAACCAAAGCTGAAGCCAGAATCATAAAAGTTATTTTAATTTAGCATTTGAACAAGTTAAATGTTTTGAAAGAATTTGTTAATAAGGTTTTTGTTGATAAAAAAAAAATAGAGTGCAACTTTTTCACTGTGAGTAAAAAAAAAACACATTTCCTCCCTAAAAATCTAAATAATAAGCTTCTCAAACACAAAAAAGTAAAACTACAGAGAAGTGCTATAAATACAAAATAATAAATTAAAGGTCTARCATTCCTTTAAGGAATCTGTATTGCCCGCCACTTTTCATGCCAGACTTTTAAACTAATGACAAACTTACAGCTCCTTTGGTCAAACCTTGTTAATTAAATTACAACACAACTGTGAGGTGGTTCATGAGATATTGTGCTAACACCACAGACAGGCACAGGCAATAAAGTTATTGTTGCTTCATCACCAGAGATATAAATAAAATATCAATGTTGCCAAGCATTTTAAACAAAACTCGCAAATGTGGGATGAGAAATATTTTTAAACTGTTGCCAAAGAAACTTCAAAAAGTTTTGTTTTATATAATTTTTTCATATTAAAGTCATGGAGAATTTGTAATTTCTTGAGGTTCTCAGATCAAATTTGCTTGGTAATAAAATGAATTTATAGCTATAAAGACTGTTCTTCTCCTAAACTGTTTAAATGACATCACTGCTGATAAGTTGTTGCAACAATCACTTTATTTAATGATATAGAAATATTATATTTAGGATCATATCTGAACATATGAAGAAAATGATTGTCTTTGACATAAAAACAACTGATCCAGAGTCGTGGCTTGGTATGTGAACAAATGTACAAGAATCAATCTGTTTCAATGATCTCTTTTGTGACCTGCAGGATTAATTTATGTTCAAATTAAAATARGTTTAAACTTATCTACATTAATTTTGTTTTGTACATGTTTTTTTACTGACCTTAGATCTGCCAATGATGATCAAATTACATCACTGATGCTCTTTGCCTCTTGCCTAATCTTAAAAACTCAACTTTTGGGGGAGTTTGGATGATGAGCGTCTGATTTTTTTCTGCTAATCTGAACTCCAGCCTCAGTGGCTTCTGAAACATTTCATTTTCCTCGTGGCATCGTTGCTAACGACAATCAAGCCACTAGATTTAGTCAGCTGTGGTCTCCGAATGATTCCCAGGTTTCAGCAGCTGTCTTTGGAGCAACAACTGGAYGATCCAAGCCATTTCAGAACCAACGCTCAGACAGAAACATTTCAGAACCCAGTGGTGCTAGGAGATGAATAACATTTACAACAAAACATGAAACATTTACACCGAAACAATTATTTTTTGGTTCTTTTTTGTATTTAGGCTCTAAATTAAAAACAATCCTGTGGATAAGTTTCTCAATTCCTGAGAAAAAAAAGATTTTTCAAAAGCAAACTGTCCCTTTCTGTGTCCGATGTAGGATAAAGTTCAGCAGTTAGTCAGGAGTTGAGCTGTAAGCTTGCATAGCTGCATGTACTGTAATTATGCTTCAGGCTAGTAGTCTCARTAGAAGTGACACCACACTTTGCTATCCTATCCTGGTTTGGTTTTCTATAATTTCACTTTTTTTCTTGTCTTTGGTGAGGATTGTTTATTTATAGGACTTGGTCTCTGTAATGTGGCTGAGGGATTAGTTGTTTTTCTCTTTCTAATCTTTAACAAATTGCTTATTTTCTTCTGCTTTTCTAAGAAACAAAAAAAGAAATTCTCTCTGTATTTGTGTCCTGTGTCATTTTTCTGGGTCCTGTTGAAGTCTTTCTGAGAGCTGGAGCCAAAATCACATTGGTTCTGTTTAACAACCAGTTTTAAAGTTAATGCAGCAGCAAACTGGTCAGCGGTCGGAGTGGTTGTCCACAAGTTTGGTGTGAGGGAAAGGATGCAGCTGAAGCTGTTTTACTTTTTACTTCCTCTTCTTTTAGTGCCATCAGTAAAAATACCACTTGTTCACCACTTGTCTAATGCGCTCCAGAGGAGCTGCTTCTAGATATTAAAATAGGATAATCATTCTTGGTCAACTTTTTAAAGGCCATGATATGCAGAAGTGAAAGAAACACATAATGGCTTCTGCTTTTGGGAGGGAAGAGACATGTAGCTGTCTAAATTTACATACTGTGCTAAAAACTCCCCCACACTGAAACTCAAGTCGTATCGGTCAACTGTGATAAAACCATTCAGCGGAAAACATGTTGAAGATTTTTTGTTTGTTTGTTTGTTTTATTTTTTGTTTTTAATTATGTTAATTATTTTAATTATTTTAATTGTGTGTGCGATGAAGTGTTGTTTGACATGTTGACTAATCAGTAATTAAATTTCTAACATTCTGATTGGCAGTTCTTCCAAATGAGTCCCAGTTTTTCAAGTTTTAGAAAAAAAAATCAGTTCAAAACCTGGCCTTTTTTTAATTTAACATTCTCTTTGAAATGTGTGCATGTGTTACAAAGGCTCTACAATTGTATGAAAATTTTTTGTCAAATAACTTGTCTATTAAAGGCTGAATGTCACATAATTTTGAATTGTGATTAAAATTAACATTTTATGGAAAGATTAAACAACTCGCTGCAGCTTGGAAGTATTTTTATTTCCATCAAATGAAAACATTTTTCCAACCTGACCAGAACCTCTCTCTCTCTCTCTGTGTCGCTCTGCCCAGAAGAGAAGTTATAGTTCAAAACATTTTTAAGGTTAGCCTTGATAAACTGAAAATGTTTCCAATCATTTTGATAATAATGGCTCGTCTCTGTTCGTTATTTGGAATTTCTGCTTCCAGTTTTTTTTTTATACCAAAAACAAATCAAAATAAAACCTCTGTGGCAGCAAAGCTTTAAAACTGTAGTTGATTTTACAAAGAATRGCTTAAAAGCTGCCAAAAAACATTTTTAACGAATTCTTATGTTGCTTTGTGCCTGTTGAGCTAATAAACGTTTAGTTATTACTTTACTTCAGACATTTCTGATAATAGATTGTTTTTTTTAACCTTCACATGGTTGGAAATTCTCAATCAAAGCTGCTTTAGTACTGAACTCCTCATTTTTGACATGAAGACGTTGTAAACAAATATGTCATCTCTCAACAAGCCAAAAAGCTTCATCCTATGAACACTGCAGTTCTGTTTCTTATACTAAAATCTCCCTCCTTTGTTTGTTCACATTTATCATCTCACCCTAATTAGTCATTATGTTTTTCCCAGCGGAGGCTGTAAAATGTCTGCGTTACGTCTGCATCAAAAAGCAGAACTGAGTCAGCTAAAACTGTAATGATCTTTAAACTGCATAAAAAAAACACAAACATTTTTAACATCCTGCTGTTTGCCTTTTTAGGTCTTTCAAGTTTGATCCTCATGTATTTGTTTGGATTTGCATAGATTTTTAGTTCAGTTGTTTACATTTCAAACCAGATTAAACTGTACAGTTATTAAAGAACAATGAGGATTGTCTTACAGAAAACTAAGATTTATCATCTTAAAATAATAAAATGTCTCATCACCTGCTGCAAGATGTTTTCATGTTTGATTGGTTCTCACCTTTTGGAGGGGATTATTATGAGTAAATTATTTAGAAATACAAATATGAGTCATACCATAAGTCCCRACACAGACATGTCCCTAAAACCGGTACTCTCCTGTGCTATAATGAAAGTGATGCTGCTCACCCAAGCATWTAAAGCTTTTCTGGGCAAAAAGATCCACCTTTTATTGAGGTGAAGGGGGGGTGATAGCATTTTTATTTATTTATTTAAGTTTTTATAAAGATTTGGACAGTGGAAAAGGAGTTGTCTCATTTGCACTGTGGGAAATGTAAGACTTTGACCTTGATGACACATTTGACAAAAATTTAACCCGATCTCAGTTTGCTGCTGTGAATTTAAACTGTGCTTTTAAAAAAATTAAAAAACAAGATTTTTTAAGGTCAACAATACTTAATGTACAAAATATATATTTGGTATAAATAGCTGCATGTTTTTTGTAATTCATATTTCTGTAACATCAGCAAGAAAAAATTATATTAAAAAGTAGAATAAAGGAAATAAACAATGATTATTTTTGATGTTAGTCAGGCCTTGTCAAGAACTTTGCTTTGAGCTGCAGAACCTTTTTCCCAGATGAAATGAGGTGAAAGTTTCGGTGAGATGAACACAAATCTCAGAGGAGGCCAGAAAGAGAAGAAAGAAAAAAAATTCCAACAGGGACAGGGAAAGTCCAAACAGATTCAGGTTTGACCTGTTGAGAAAACACCCGCTTYGGATGTTATCATCCTCTGCAGATCAATGACCCTTTTCATGCTCACAMACATGCTCAAATGTTTGACTGGGTGGAGACCACGGAGAAGAGCCAGGACATGCTGGAGAGACTCTTTGGCCTGGGAAGGCCTTGGAATCCTCCCAGAAGAGCTGAAAGAGGTAACTGTGGAAAGAAATGTCTGGTCTACTCTGCTGAAGCTACTGGTTGGATGGATGGATGGATGGATGGATGGATGGATGGATGGATGGATGGATGGATGGATGGATGGATGGATGGATGGATGGATGGATGGATGG